CAAAGCAAGAGGTATTCGTTTGAAATGTAACGTTTTGAAACGGTTATCATGACTGTATTTTGGGAATGTTTTCTGGATCGTATTAACGCCATAAGTAAAAAACTTCAGAGTGTGGAAATTGACATTATCATTGTTACAGAACTGTATGAGGTACTAATACATTTTATTGGCGAAACACGAAATGACTTCGATGATTTCGAAAAGAAAGCCAAAGCACTGTCCTTTGTATAGGAATATGAAAAATATTATCGACGCATTCGAAAGTGTAAGCTACTACCTAGCGAGACTAATACAGGTGAAGAGATGCAAATAAACGGTCGCGAAAATTTCGGAATCACTACTTTTTTGGTAATAAATGATACTTTGTCAGAAGAACTCAAAAAACGACGGAATGCTTACAAGTTACTTAACAATAAATTGAATTTTATTACTAACTTGACGAAACTAAGCGTGTCTGAAGTCGAAGAAAAGGATAAAAGATTGCAAAGGGTTTATTCCACTGATTTAGACGATAACTTCTCAGAAGAATGTCTGCTTTTTCGTGTTCACTGCAGTGTAAGAAATGCAGATCGAAACGATCCTATTATTGAATGCTATTTAATTGAATGCGTTGCACTATTGCGTTATTGTTGCGGGGAGGACTATTGGCCTTGAGAAGTTGTTCCTTCGAATGCCTCCAGCAGCTTTCCTGCCGTATCATAAAGATCTGTGTGCTGAAGGTGTTTCTGAATCTCCTTTACCTTTGCCTATCAGGGTCAGATGTTGTCTCTTCCATACTTCTGAGAAAATACCCTCATCCAACAATGTATTGTAAATGGATAGCAATAAGCGCGGGCATTCTTTGGCGATTAACTTTAGCACTTCCACCAGTATACCAACAGAAACAGGGGCTGTTTTGGTCTTTGACGTGCTCGCGGACGTGTTCATTTCCTCCAAAGTTAAAGGTGGAGGGGGGGTCTCTTGGGGAACAGCTTAGTATGGCAATAATTAATATCATAACAATAATTATTTAATTGATTATTATTTTTAATCCATTCGAAATAAATTCTTCAGTTAAGTGCAGTTTTGATATTTGCAACGTTTCTTATGCAATAAGTGTCGTCTTCTCATTTTAATTGTCTGATTTTTTTAAAGCATTACAAATACATCATCAAGTAATTTTAAAACCGGTCATATTATTGATGAGTCACTAGCTCATAAACATCCTATTCCATCGACACTTGACTTTGACTCTACTGAGACTCAAACCACCATTCATAATATTTGCTTACATATCATAGATAAATACATACATATATACGCATATGAATATTTATTAGCATATTAATTAATTAATTGTATGCACATAAAGATTACTTAATACTTTTTCCATTCTTTTACTCAAACTAAGTACTTAGTATGTATGCTCATACATACATATTTATTTGACTTAGTGTTATGTGAAAGCAACTATGCAAATGATGATGACAGCTCATTTTGATGTACTGGATTACATTTGCGCGGCGATAATTACACAGATTACACAGTTCCGTCATTTCATAATCGTTTATCTTATTGGGTGTTGAAAATGCCATAAATTTTACGACGCATTGTACATATGTTTTTATGTATATTTGTTGTAATTTGTTTAATCGCTTTATTTCGTTAGTAAAGTAACTACTCATATTAGTAGTATTGGAGGGATCGGACTTACGTAACGGAAATGTTTATTGTATGAATCTTACATAACATAAAATAGCTTAGCGCAACATTATAAGACAACTTAATATAAAGTAACTTAAGATATCCTGTATATATAATTTTTTAATTAAAAAAGTTTTCAATTCAAGGACTGGAGTTTGGTGGATCAGTTTGTATTGCAGCTATAGTTGTCCAATCTGAACAATTTGTTCGGAAATTGTAGTGCTCTCTTCGAAAATAAACTGTACCAAATTACATGAAACTACCTTCTCAAATAAAAAAATTTTCCATACAGATGATCTGATCTAAACAATTGGTTCGGTGATTGTATTTTTATGCTCTCGCAACCTGTTGCTACAGAGTATAATAGTTTTGTTCATCTAACGGTTGTTTGTATCACCTAAAACTAATCGAGTTAGATATAGGGTTACATATATATAAATGATCAGGATGAAGAGACGAGTTGAAATCCGGGTGACTGTCTGTCCGTCCGTCCGCACGTCCGTCCGTGCAAGCTCTAACTCAAGTAAAAATTAAGATATCTTTATGAAACTTGGTAAACATGTTTCTTGGTACCGGGAGACGGTTGGTATTGCAGATGGGCGTAATCGGACCACTGCCACGGCCACAAAACGCCATTAATCAAAAACAAATAAATTGCCATAACTAAGCTCCGCAATTAGATACAAGACTGTTATATTGTACACAGGATAACATTAGGGAGGGGCAGTTAAATTTTTTTTTTAAGTAGGCGTTGTCCCGCCCCTAATAGGTTTAATGTACATATCTCCTAAACCGCTAATGCTATAATAACAAAATTCACTGCAAGTTTTTAGAACCTCTACCTACAGTGTGAAAATAGTTGAAATCGGGTGGCAACTCCGCCCACTCCCCATATAACGGTACTGTTAAAAACTACTAAATGCGCGATTAATCAAGCACGAAACACGCCAGAGACATTAAATTTTATCTCTGGGATGGTATAAGATGACTTTGTAGGAACCGCGTTCAAAATTAGACAGTGGGCGTGGCACAGCCCACTTTTAGGTGAAAACCCATATCTTGGGATCTTTTTAACCGATTTCAACCAAATTCGGTGCGTAACGTTCTTTTAATGTTTCTATGTCATAGTGCGAAAATGGGCGAAATCGGACTACAACCACGCCTATTTCCCATATAACACCATTTTCAATTCCATCTGATTCTTTCACTTTCCACTATGCATATCAAGCAACAATGATTATATCGGGGTAAAACTTTGCGTGAATAATGCGATTAAAGTATGCCACTTTGTGGCCAAAAATTGTCTAAAATTTTCGTTTTCTAAAAACATAGTTTATAGCATGAACTTCTTTGAACACTCTAATGATATTCGAGAGAAGACTAAGATAATGAGAGATGCCCACAAATATCCCAATATTCCGCTATATGGTATACAGATCGATCATCCATATCTGTAGATTGAACCATCATTACGTTAGATTAGCGATGTATTTTAAGTTCCGCATAAATTACAAAAACAGGGTTAAGGTTAAGGACCGCATTATCAAAGTGATTACTAAGGGCTTTCAAGGTAGGACTGACTTTAGAATGAGTCAATAATACAATCACTCAAACCGCAAATGATTTCATATCAGCCCTGTTGGGGCTATAGTTGCTTCTGCTTGCTTTTTCAGCTTTAAATAATTATCGAAAGATTTCGAGTCTAGTTTAAAAGTATATTAACCTGGAGCTTCTGTGTTCAGGTTAGGTTAGGTTATACTGACCGCCTGTTACGCCATACATAGACCCACTAGTCCTTAGTAATGCCATATGGTGATTCAGTTTAATTAGAGCTGAAGTATTCGGCATACCGGACGTCAGCGCAACTTTAAGAGCAACTTGATATCTAATTTTTATACTTCATCCAATTCCTTGAACTGCGAAGCTTCTAGATATATAATATTTTAGATAATGCTGGACAGAAGCATAAGTGGTTTTCCAGCGTCTCTCTCATACCTACTTTTCTGCATGTATCGCCGTTACTTATGCTCATCCGGCTCGCGTGTGATGCCAGTAAGTTGTGCGAAGTGATTGGGGCAACAACCGTTCTGCAGTCCTTTCGAGATCGTGTGAGTGAAAAGCATGCGAGTTTCGCTTTGGGGCTCTTGCACATGATCTTGGCGATTCTACATGATCTTTAAGATATTCCCTCCCGCCCTAATCCGTCTGTCAGCCCTTTCGGAAATTTCATGGTATATCGTTTTTAATGACTTCTGTATTTTTTGTACTGATTCGGTAGGACGAATGGGTATTTTGACAATATCATCAGTTATATAGTTTTCCGCCATTCCTTTGTGGCGTGGAACCCACTATATATGCAGCCGCTTTCCGGCAGTCGCTAAGGACATTCTCTTGTCTCCGCCTTGCTATCGACGTATTTATATAATTATTCTTAATGTTGTTTCCTGCGTTGTTAGCTATCTCACCCGCTTTTCTGAACACAAATACTTCCGCCTGGAAGTTACTGTAGTATTCCGCAAGTTTAAAGGGTCGGCTGAAATCCAGTTCCGAGCAAAAGATTCCGGCTCCCATGCCATTAGCCAGTTTTGATCCATCTGTATAGATGTTATAAGTTCCGCTGGCAAGTCGCATACTCCTGCGTCATCCACCAGTGTGGCTTGAAAGCTTCTCTCTCAGGTCCTTGTGGAGAATTCACCTTTCCCCCAATTGTATTGCTTAGCAGATTTCTAAGAATATAAGCAATATTTTCGTTTAATTAAATGGGGTTCGGTAGATGCTACGCCAATAAGCGAATATAACCCACTTCGTTGGACAAAGCCGACTCACAAGACTTCATCACCTGTTTGCGGAGTTTATATTGTAATTTATGGTATAGTTAGTTGTTAGTATTAAAAAGAAACAAAGATGCCACATGTGTCTTTATTTCATTGATTAATTTTTTTCTACCATTTTTTTCTTCTTTATTTCTTTTTTTCTGGTAATTTATTAGCCTTTTATCTCCAAGTAAACTACGCATTTCTCCTACACCACTATAACAACTATATTCACCATAATAAACACCAACAAGACACCTGCTTTTACATTTGCGATGTTGATTTATCGCTTGATTTATCTAACTGTCCACACAATAAATTCAAATAACAAAGAAATCGCAAGATAATAAAAAGATGAATGATTGCGTTTAGCAGATTGACAAGCAAAGTGGTTCGCTGGAGCAGCGCTGAGTGCCCATGCTTGGGGGAAGAAGTCCGCTGATGGGTTGGTCAATGCGCTCCCCTTCATCTTTATGCAAAACATAAATATAAACACGCAAACGAAATAGAAAATACGAATACTCATTAACGGCTGAATTTATTAAACAGTTAAACTCGTTCTTCACATTTGATTAGATTTGAGGAAAGAAAAACAAAAACAAAAGCAAACACACTTAAGTGCTTTGTTGCGCGATTCATGCGCCGCAGACACTTTAGACAAGGTGTCTTCAACACAGATTCATTGTGATTTCGCCGCTCGATAAAGACGCATTTCGAATTTCACATTTCGCTTGGCGGCGCGCAAACTAAACTTCGCTAAAATTCAATTCGACATTTTCTAAAATCACTAATAACGTGTTGTAAACAAATAAGTACAGTTAGATATTGGCGTAAGTGCGGCGCGCATGCAAACGCTACATGTTAACGGTGCAGTGCGAGCAACAGATTAGCGAATGCGGTGCTTGAAAGCGTGCTATGTATTAAGTGACGTTCTAAACGCTTTATTTTGAAAATTAAACTTTTTTTTCGAAAACTTGTGCATTTGAAATTGAATTTTTTTTATTGCGTTCACGCTTTTATTGCTTGAAAGTCAATCAGCTACGTTGTACCTACCACTTAGCGGCTGTTAACAAACAAAATTGAAACAAAATTGCAGCGCTCATTTTGCAGAGGCAACAACAACAGCGTTAAAGCTCGAAATAAAGTATTAAAAAGCTATTATTAACGTTTGGGCATTGGCAATTAGCAGAATGTCAACGAAATATAATTTACGAGCTTGCACGAGTGCAACACTGTCACTTTCACTGCTGCTCCTAGTGGGCTACGGCAGCGCGCTGTACTCCTGGTGCGATCCGACCTTATGCGAGCGCGGCGTGCGACACTTGGCCTGTCGCAATAATGGTGTAAGTGTTAAGGGAATTTTAAATATGTGAAGTAATTATGAGAAAAAAAAATTTTGTGTTAAAAAATAAATATATTTAAAAAAGTTTGTTAAAAATACTTTAATAAATAATAATATTAAAATTTTAAAAAATTTAATGTAATTTAAAAAGTATTTAAAGCCCGTATTCAAACATTATGCAAAAAAATATTGAATTCAATTAAAGTGGCTTATTTCATAAAATATAGTTTTTAAACAAATTTTTGAAAAAATTAAAAAATTAAATTATTAAATATTATTTTTAAAATAAAAATAAAAATTATTTTTTTATTTTTTTCAAAAATAAAATATAAAACAAAGTATGCATAATTAAATTGTTTGAATATTTCTGACAATATATTTGAGCAAAAGGATTTCTACCAAAAAGTTTATTTATTTAAAAATGCTTTAAAAAAATATTTGTCAAATTACAAAATTAAAAACTAGATTTTTTTAAACATTTTTTTTTTTATAAAGAATAAGATTCTTTGAGAAAACAATCAAAGCACGAAATTCAATGCTTGCATACAAACTCTACGCTCGAAAAAAATTTTTTGAAATCTATTTAAAATGGAATCCAAAACAAAAAAAAATTTAATATTTTCAAATAAAATTGGTTCATGTTATATATGCTTTACAAATTTGAAGAAATAAAATTTATAAAGTAATTTTGAAGAATATTATGAACTGAGGATTTTTATAGAAAAACTAAATTTCAAATATTGTTTATAAAAGATTATTTTTACTGTACCCTACTGTTTCATACTGAATTAATAATTTTTTTAATAAAGGTGTTTGATAGAAAAAAGATAATACTTGTAACAGCAAAATTTTTTGTTTTTAAATCTAAAAATATATTAAAAATTTAATATTAAAAGTTTAACATATTTTGAAAAATTATTTTATTGTTAAAGAGTTATAGTTAATCAAAATGAAAAAATAATATATGCAAAGATTTAAATTTTTATAAAAAATAATATAAAAATCTTCTTTGGAGTTCGCACCATTGATTTGGACAATAATCTATGATAAGATATTTCGTCAAATGACAAATTTTTCCATACAAGCGACTGCATCTAATCTAATCTGGAAGATATCTTGTCAAATTAAAATTGGTGTGAAAACGACAGGTGCAGGTTTAGATCGTTATCTCAAAAACTAAGGACTATATCTCCTAAACTATTATTCTGATCAACTTGAGCATTAAGAATAAGATTCTAGAGGTGTTCTAGTATTATTTAATACAATAAAAATAAATAGATTTTTTAAAGCCATGAGACCCATGTAACTTCTTAATAGAGTCGCAAAAAATTTTTTTTAACAATTTAATAAATTTGCTTAAAAATAGTTATTAAATTATAATATAAAGTTCCACAAATTATAAAATATTTAGTAAATCCTTTTTTTTATTTTCAAAACTATTTTTATATATAACATATTTAAAAGACAATTTTAGATACAATATATAAAAATTTGTTGAAGTTAAAATTTCGAAATACAAATATTTTTTGTTTAATAATTTCGTGATATATATATTAATAAAATACAGACATAAATATTTGACATAATTTTTTTTTGTGTGAAATTTTTTAAATAAAAAAAATTTAAACTAAGTCCAATGTAAAAAATATATTTTAAAAAATTATAAGAAAGTAATTGACACAAAGAGATTAAAAACTAAATTTCGAATTTTATAATACAGACTGAGTTGCAAATAATGCACTTTTCAATTTTTAATACCAAACATCTTGGATTAAAAAATGAAAATTAAGTTTTTAATCGCAACATCGGGATTGAAAAATAAAAATTTAATTTTTAAGCCAAAATTTTTGTAATTCAAAAATTCACAACCCCGATTACCGAAATATTATTTACCATTTTTATAAACTTAATTTTTTTTATTTAAATGCTAAACAAAAATCTTAAAAGAAAAACATTTCAAAGTATCATGATGAATAACTATTTTTTAACTCATTTGTACGAGTATTTTTTACTTAGATTTTTACTTTCTAAATATTTATTGATATTTTATATATTTTATTAACTTTTTATTTACAAAAAATATTAATCTACAATATATACAAACATTTTATTTAAAAATATTGCGCATTCATTATAGATTGATAAAAAAAAACAAAAAATTTCTAAAATTAATAGTAAATTTATTTTTTAAATAAAATATTTTTCACACTCCCCTCACTATAGGATTTTGCCAAACGCTGCGCATCCGATGCCATTGAGTTGGACATTTCCGATTATAAGGATCAATTTGTGCACGAGCACAATAAGCGAAGAAATTTCCTAGCGCTCGGTTTGCTGCCCGGCTACTATCCCGCAGCGCGCATGGCCACAATGGTGAGTATTTGCGGCATCTTCAACATTTAGATGACCGGTTCTTTGCGTAAAAGTCAATAGCTACATAAATAACTATAATTAAATTTGGTTAAAAGTGCTAAAAAGTCGATAATCTGCATAAAATATATAATCTTTAAATACCATACACGGGTGGTTAGTACAAAAGACTTAAGCAACAAACTCGTTTCACTTTCATTTGCATTTCGCGCAAGAATATTGTGTTGGACACTTAACACGGCGGCCGAGAGTGTAAAATACATATACGTATGTATGTACATATATATATATATATATGTTTGTTTGTATGTGTGTGTAAAACAGGAAAACCATAAAAATCCAGAAATGCCCTCGCATCTGTTTTCTTAACCAGCGCTTCGTTGATGCAAGTGTATATACTATAGCGAATGCCACGCCTTTTGAGCAAAAACAAAACAGCAACAAATAGTAAAAACAGTACTCTTTAATCGCAAATAAATCTTTTGCTATAAGTCTTAATTAAAATACTCGTAAATGTCAGTTTGTTTTACTACCGATGAAGATTAAATGCTTATTACATATTTTAGACAATGATTGATTCTTAATAAAAAATATATTAAAAATATATAAATCATATTTTTAATTATAAATATAAAATATATTTTTAATTTTATCATAAAAATGTACTTGCGTAACCCAGTACAAGAAAATACGAAAAATTAACAGTTTATTTGGCTTAAATTTATTGATGCATTCTTTGATCCTTAAATTTCACCAAAAGTAGGGAATTGGAAAAAATTTTTATATTTTTATTAATTTTAATTAAAAATAAAATAAATGAACTTCCAACTAATATTTTCTAGTTTTTGTTGCTAAAATATGGTATAGCCACTTTTTATAACTTAGAACTTCCTTTCTTTACTTTCACCACCTTCTTTTCAAATTTACCCTAAATGTAGACAACGGCTTTATAGCTAATATTTTCGGATCAGAAATGTTCGCCAATTCTTTGAGGATAAATAAAAAATGAAAATCTCTTAATAGGAGTTACACCTTATGAGGTAATAATTAGACACTTCTGTGGACCCGAAATACACAAGTTTCTAAGGTTAGGTATCATTTAAATTTTAATAACTGAGGTGTACTCGCTTTCGAAACAGAACTTTAAATTTGAAGGAACGGAACCTTAAGCTATTATTGTTTATCTCAAATCAACAGCTATTGTCAAAGCCGATTCCCAATTTGCTCGTGCTTAATATATAAAATAAAAAACTCAAGTTCTTGTATAATCTAAATTGTTTCGACTTTTACACACTTTCTTTTCAGATTTGGGATGATGAGCTACAATATTTGGCATCACTCAATTTACGCACTTGTATACTAGACCATGACTCTTGCCATACCACTTACCGTTTTCAGTATTCCGGCCAAAATCTCTGCGGCGTTGTGCGTGATCGCAATCCAAATGTGAATGTGAGCGGAATTATCGAAGAAGTGATGGGTTTGTGGTTCAATGAGTATCCATTGATCGATAGCAGTTATATAAGGAAATTCCGCGTGACCAAGTACTTGTGAGTATTATATAAATAAATTAAAAGTACGAATCGCATTTAATTTCATTTTTTTATTGACAAGTTTAAGTATACAAAAGTGGTGTCGACTAAAATTTAAAATAAAAGTTTAAATATAATTGAATCACATAATTTTATTTTAACACACGCAAAAATTTAAAATAAAACCAAGTTTTATATAATTAAAAAAAGAAAATACTTTTTAAGCTTTAACAAAGCAAACGAAATATTTAAAAATGTATAAAATAAAAACAATACTAAATATTGATATCAAAACTTAAAGCATACATAAAAATTTTAATTTAAAAAAATTATAAAAATATAAAAAAAATGTTTAATATATTGTGTGATATGCTTACATACATAAACCAATGAACTTTTCTGCAGTTCATTCTTCATTTTTATTTTCACATTTAAAAATAAATTAAGAAAAATAATGAAAATAAAAATCCATGTATACTCTTACAAATTAAAACATATATGTATGAGCGTCGGCTTTTATATTTCAATATGAGATGAAATATTAATCATCGAAAATCGCTTTATTGCTTTTTAAAATATTCTGCATTAAGATCTATACACTTTTGCAAGCGTTTGAACCAATTGTCGAAACCATTTTGACCACTCTGATTGAGATATCTCCAAAACATGCGTTCAGAATGCATCAACCGCCTTTTCAGGGGATGGAAAACGCTGATTTATTTATCTTACGTTTATTTTTAACGTACGGGAATAAAAAGAAGTTATTCGGAGCCAAGTCAGGTATAGTCCCGTGGATGACTCATCATATCGATGTTTTGAGTGCTCAAATGTCGTGCTGAAGAGATCTTCGGCGGTTGGTTTTATTGATTTCTTGAAAGACAACTTGCAAACAAATGGTGGTTTATCACTCAGAACTCACAGTTCTGCGTTGTTCTAGTTGTATGGTTACGAAATATTCAGGTTTTCCAAAAAAACAAAACAGGCAACCATTTGCTTGGAAGTGCTTCGTACGCGAACAAATTTTGTTGGGTTCGGCTCATCTTGGAACACCCATACAGTCAACTGCTGTTTACTTTCGCGCTCATACGCATAAGTTCACGATTCGATAGTCACGATGTCATATACGTATTTCGAAGCACGGCTGTCGTATTTTTTTTAAGAGTTCTCTCCACCAATTGACACGAGCCTTGTTTTGAGCGATTGACAATTTGACGATAGGTCACAAGACGATCGTGCAATATCAGTTTGCGCACAGCAACAATAATTTCAATTGCCGGAACAACAACTGATTTTCGACGATCTTAATGAAATTCGTCTTGGAGTGATCTACGATCTCGACTAAATTCACCATACCATTGATAAACACTGGTCCTTGATAGAGCTTTATCGTCAAAAATTTAATTAAGTTTATCGATGCAGTATTGCTGAGTTAATCCACGTATCAAATTGCAAAAAATTATCGCTCAGAAATGTTCGCGATTTAATTATATATTTTTGCCGAAATTTTCTATTTAAATTTTTTAAATTTAAATTTAAGACTTAAAAAAATAAATAAAAATAAAAAATGTTCAAGTTAAAAGTTTATATAAAAAAAGTTCTTATAAAAAAATTTTAAAAATTAAACCTAAAAAAAAATAATTTAAAAAAAATATTAGGTAATAACTAAAAACAACAACAAAAAAATTTACTTACTTACTTTAACTTACTTTTTAAAATTTTTATTTAAAATTTTTTTATTTGATCTGTTTTATTTCAATTCAAATTAAGGTTTAACAAAATATTATTAACTAATAAAACCATAAATACTATATATATAATATATGAATCAAATGGCAAACATAACTTTTTTTATATTTATTTTAAAATAGTGAGGACTACGGTCACTTCGCTGAGATTGCCGTCGATCGTAATACACACGTGGGTTGTGGTATTATACGCTTCACACGCCCCGATGTACCCTACGTCTACATCTACAACATGGTCTGTAATTATGCGTCAATTTATGCCTTGGACACACCCGTTTACACAGTGGGCCAACCCGGTTCACGCTGTCTGGCGGGTAAAAACCCCTATTATCCCGGTTTATGCTCCGAAAAGGAGCAGATCAATCCGAATTATTAAGAGCCAGTGCTTTTATGTAGTTATAGTAGTGATTAATGCTAAGTTTAACACAAATAAATGCTTGTGAATAGTTAATAAAAAAATTATAATAAATAAAAAATTTTATGTAATAAACAACAAAAAATAGCTGACAAATTTAAACAGTGTTGTATTTATTCTAATTCTATTTTATTTGCATCTTTTTTGTGTATTCTACATATACTACATATTTTTTTTATTTTAATTATTTTTAAACAGTGTTGCATTTAGGCTGTTTTTGGATTGTTTTTTTTTTTTTTTGATTGTGTCAAGCGGTAAATTATGCGATTATATTTTTAGTCATCTCAACTTAAACAAAGGCAAATTTTTCATTAATTGTTTATTTTTAGTAACAATCAAAGCATAAATACCTTATCTACATATGTATGTACGTCACAATGAATTCGACATTTTTTTCCTCCTGGAACTTGCTATCGAAAAGCCGGTTTTTAAGAAAAGTTATCACAGTCAAAACGGCATAATTTCGGAAGAAAAGATTTGTTTCGTTTATCTAAGTGAGCTCAAGCTCATTAGCATGTTTCGCGAAACTATTGGCGAATGGAAAGAAATAACAACAAAAAAAAAACGAAAAATAAATAAAAGAAAGAAAGGTTAATGAAATCGCTTGATAGTTTTCGAACTTATTAAAAATTCAATGTCAAGGAATGCGATTAACAAATAACTGCATAACGAGTGATGAAAATAAACTGTAAATATATTCACGTTATTGCCAAATTTTAATTAAGAAGATATTATCTTGTATTATTGGATGTATTTTATGAGTTCAAACAGTTTTCATTAAATTTGGACAAAAGGTACTTTTGATCTCTATAGGAAGATTTGGGTATTTTTATGTATTTTAGAATGCGTAACTGTAATTTGCGATATAGTAAATTGTGTCGTCAGGTTGCGCTATAATCGATATATTTCACGTGATTCTTACGCTCAGGCTTCTTACCGAAGATATGCGAAAAATTTTGCTGAAGGTTTTAAAGCAAACATGGAGGTATCTAGATATATACATACATTCGTAGAAATTTCAGAAGCTTAGTGCGGAAAAGTTGAAAGAAGGACTATTTGATTCAGGAATCAAAAAAGACTTGGATTCATCAAAGTTATGATTGGAAAGTAAGTCATGGAAAATCTTTATGTTGATAGTCGAAAATATTTTAGGTAACCGTAAAGTACCAAATTATGAAGATATTGTGCAAAATATGCAGACAAATGTTCAGACTCTAGGAACAAACATGAGTATTAAGTTAGACTATCTGCGCAATCATCTGGAAAAAATTTACGGATAATTTAGACAATTACAGCAAGGAAAAAAGAGAATGATTCCAACAGGATCTAAAAGTGAGAGAAGAAAGGAGTCAAGGTTGATGGGATGACTACATGTCGTCCTTAAAAAAAATTGTCGATTGGAAAATTATAAAGACAAGCTCATAAAAGGCGTTTAATTGAAATATAACACATATTTTTGACATTTTTGGCTCTGTTTACTTGAATATATCCTTAAATAAAACGGAAATTATAAATATATCCATTATTTTATTTCATCTTTTGATTTTTGTTATGTTAATCGAAAAAAAGGATTTAAAAATAAACGAGAGCAAAACCTACAAATTCATTGATAGTTTCATGAACTGCGGGCACAAGTATATCTACAATCGTTCTTAAATGTAGGGAAACAAAATCACTGTGGACCCGTGTTATTAATAGGTAAAGAACGACTATTCCAAATATTTGTACCCCCTAGTGGGCGCTGGAGTTAAGTTGTTACAAAGAATCCTATATACAGCCTGATATAACTCAATTTTGAAATATAAATGTATCATAAAATGAGAAGTACTTTTTAAATACGTACTTAAATAAATCTACAAATAATAATACAACAAGAAAACACGTTAACTTCAACTGCAAAGAAACTATAATACTACTCATAGGTACACTTCTTATAGCATATAAAAATGTATAACTAAATCTTACCTAATAAGAAATAAGATATTTTATGAAGATCTTTATCTTGATTTTGATCGGTTAGTTTGAATGGCAGCTATAGTATATCTTGGCTGATACATGAGGTATATAGCCACTGTAATATAGCAATGTCAGAAGAATGTTATACACCGAATTTGGTCGAAATCGGTATAGCAGGTTCCGAGATATGAGATTTCATCTAAAAGTGGTCGGTATCACGCCCATTGTGCAATTTTGATCGCTGCTCCTATAACATTCTGTCACACCATCTCGGTCATTTTTGAAGTCTCTGGAGTATATAGTTATTGATTTATCGCGCTTTAAGTAGTTTTTAAGAGTGCCGTTGTATGGGAAGTGGGTTGTGGTTTGATTATTTTAACTTGAACTGTTTGAAATATACTATGTACATTTAATCTTTTAGAGGGCGGGGCCACGCCCTTTTTTATTTTTAGCTCACAGGTGACCTTACTACTGCGATATCCAAATTACAGTGCCAAATTACAGTTCTATATCTTCATTTAGCGCTTATTTATGACAATTTATAGGTTTGCGTTTAATGTCGTGTTGTGAGCCTGGCAGTGGTCTATTTACGAACTCGTTATTACTTTTGAGTCTAGGAACACGTGTAACAAGTTTCATTACGATATATGAATTTTTACTCAAGTTACAGCTTGCACAGATGGACGGACCGACGAACGGAGGGACAGGCAGATATCGTCTCGTCATCCCGATCATTTATATAATATATATATAACCCTATATCTATTTCGGTTAGTTTTAGTTGACACAAACAACCGTTAGGGGAACAAAACTATTATACTCTGTTGCAAGAGAATAAAAATTATGAGTTTTTGTTTTTGCTTATAAGCATCAGAGAAGTGATTTTGTTATTGTTGTTTTTTCATTTAAAAGTTATCAAACCACCTAGCTGCTCTGGGTCAAAGTCACTGCGTGGGCGCAAGTCAAGAAAACGTGATGTTAATGAACTTTCCTCCAAAAATATCAACAATGAGTAATAAACTCACAACCAACAAATCACACTCGAGTTGGCATGCTCTAAAGACATTCATTTATTAAATGCATATAAAATTTGTACTCGTAAATAAAGACGATTTTATTGCTTAAAAAAGTGAGTTGATGAAAATATTATGAACTAACGGGTTTAGGACGTACTGCTTCTAATATTTGTGGTGTGTGAATTTTTTCGAAGCACTTCTACTGTTAGTGGCTTATTCTCAATTAGATTTGTGTCACTTTCTAATAACTAACCGTATTAAGAACGACGAACACTATCTAAGCTGCCTTTGAGAAATAATATACTCAAGATTAGTTGCAAACATCAGACTCATGCAAATATCATGAAGACTTATCTTTCACTACTTTTGTTCAATAGGACGCTTTCGAACTAATATTTCTGCTGAAAATCGTCCTATGATTTACAATCCCAACTTTAAATGTTTCAGGAATTTTATGTCTAATACTTTATATAATATTTGGTTGCATAATTGTAGATAAAGAAAGGTTATATTATATTACGGCCGGTTCATCGGTCTCATAATTTTGTTGTCACCGCGAGTGGAAGCTTAAACGTCCGCAGATTTTCGAAAATGGAAATTCGTCGGTGAGTCGTATTTTGTTGGAAAGGAAATCCAGCACTGGAAACAAAAAACGTTTGGTATATACTGTGAGTCTTCTTCTTTAATGTATATATACTCGTATATTGTGGGGTACCAAAGGCCACAATGAGACTCTTCTATTAATCTCGTGCTAGGCCCTTTGTGCTAGGCCCTTAATTTGACTTCAGCATTTTGGACCTTATATATTTCGTTATGAAAATTTCTACTACAGGTTAGAGCAGGTCGGCCTTACCGTCGGCTGCCTCCTCGATTCAAGTCGATAGTGTTCCAGGTGATTGTGTCTGGATCTCGTTTCAGAACGTGCCCGATCCAGTTTCATTTTCTTTTGAGAATTTCGGCTTATAAGGGTGTTTAATGTGTATGTGACATAAGACCGTGTTAGAGATGCTGACCGGGCATAAACTGTAGCAAATATGTATTGTGAAGGCATCGCTTTGTGAACTCTTGCAGCTTTTGGATATTAGAGGTTATGATATTTCATGTTTCGCAGCCGTATAGAAGTGGGAACTTTACTTTGGAGTTAGCTTTCTTTATATGGTTGGTGATTTCTTCCCTTGATCCACCGATTGCTGATACAATAATGCTCAAATAGATAAATGATTTCATATTTTTTAGCTCTATACCATCGACTTAGAAGTTCAGCGTAAAGGTGGTGTTGATACGCATTTCTTTGGTTAGCGACAGTGAAAAATTGGTTTAACGAGTTTCAACGAGGAAGCACGTGAAAACTACATCGTTTCATATTGACAAATTACCGATTGAAGGACCACTTTACTGCAATATTTGACCCTGTTTTAGAGCAATCCGATGCAGTATCTGCACCCTCTCGACAAAATGGTTATCACGGCGTACAAAAACCGAGGATAAGTCGAACGAGACATGGACCAACGAACTAGCTCCGAAGTAGGGGACGAAAACAGGAGATAGCCGAAAAGGAGACGATCATCGTCTTCTGGGATTAATAAAGTGTGGTCTACATCAAATATCTAGAAGCAGAAGGCTAATATATGGTAGTCTCAGTCAACTAAAATAAGTAATTGGCCGGGCAAAAAATTGAGGCGAATGAAATCGTATAGTTCAGCCTACTTGAAAAAGTTGGAGCATCAAGTGTACAGAAGAGCTCAAAAGAGACTAAGCTGAGACATAATTGCAATTTTTATTTTGTAGTCTTAGTACTTATCACAAATGAGACGGTGTTAGCATTTCGCTTCATTGAAATTTTATTTTATTGAATGAGATAACGAGGAAAATACGAACTCCTTACTTTCAAATTAATTGCACAACAAAAGGCTCTTGTTTTACATACTCGTACAAATGTTTTTATGAATCTGAACTTTTAAAAAATGTTAGTATGTATATTAAATATTGCAATAATGCACCCAAACAAAGCGTAAATTTTAATTAAAATCGTATGAATTAGAATGAGAACGGCGCGTGTTGCAGTTACCCTCTCATTCCTCGCTTTAAATATTTCAACAATTCACTTGCACCTGTCAACAACTCTCCATCGGTCTGTGCTCTTTGTCAAATTTCTCTTATTTCATAATTCTTTTCTTCGCTAATTACTTCATCTTATCTTTACTGGCTTTTGTTTTTGTTTTCTTGTTGAAATTATTACATCTCGCAACTTTTAGCATCTCAATGCGATATCCTGAACAGAAAGCATTATTCTGTGAGAAAAAATGCAAAAAAAAATAAAAATTTTAGAATTTCACTTTCATATAATTTCGTCGCTCTGGATTTCAAGTATAAAATAAGCAGCGAACGCACCAAAACCATTTAATCGTATTTTGTAACGATTTGTGTTGAGTAACGGCGTTTACAGCTTACAGTTTTGAAAATTCATAAGTTCGTGTAAAAAATGTTTTCCAAATTTGCTACAATAAATTTTTTGCTCGTTTTGGCTTTTGTCTTCTTCATTGAGGTGAAGTCAAACAGATTATCTTGGTGTGATCCCGAGTTGTGCCCGAATAGGAAACAGCATATTGCATGTGGACATGATGGTGTAAGTGAATATGAAAAAATTTTGTTAGTGCTAAGAAAATGTTTACAAAACTTTTGAAAATTGAGATATTTTTATTTTTTTACGAACTTTAATTTTTTTTTTAACTAAAAAAGAAAGCACTTTTTCTAGCTTATTTTTAAACTTTTTCGGCATATTAAACAAAAATAAGTTAGTTATTTTATGCTTTGTGTAAAAACATATGTGTTAGAATTTGGTATTTTTATTTAATTTAGAAATATTAGTAAACAATCAAAACTTATATAATTTTAATTTTATAAATAAACGTAGATAATGAAAGGAAAAAATTGAAACTAAAACTTTTATTATACTAAAATAATATTAATAATTATAATAAACACCTTGACGAACACTAAGGAAATATGTATAATAAATAATTTATATTTAAATGGTTTATTGTGTTTGATACATTAAGTAATAAAAAAATAGTATTTTTAGTTCACATTTTATTATATTATTTTTTCAGAAATGTCAATTTTATAATACTTAAAAAATATTATCTACACAATATATATATTTCTAATATTTATTTATTTAATTACTTTATTTTTTACTGTAAAGTATTTCTTACATAAAAAATATACATTTCCATATGTAAAATAATATTTAAATATTTGTTTTCTTTTATTTTTATGTTATTATAAATACTGATTTAAATATTTCCATTTACTTTCTCAAATAAGAAAAATGTATTTAAAAAATTTAAAGTTCGCGTTTAACAAACTGATAAAGTCCCCCACTGGAATATCTTGCTTAAACCCGTCCCTGTCCACTACTATGGCAATATTGAGGAACGATTGAAAGTTAAATTTTGTAACATTTCGAAAACCCGTGTTATTGGGTAGAAATGGGAACTTACTAAGTACTAGTATCATAAAATGGCTCTTATTACAGGCGATCCTCAGTCTAACAGCTGACTTCGTTAACAGCTGCTTGCGGAACAAGTTTGTTGGTTGACAGTAAATGTAAAATGACATTTAGTGCCTGATTTGGCGTTGTTCTAAGAGCTCCACTGATGCATACACTAGCTGCTCTTTGTTTGCTTCCCATACCCCTTACCGCTTATTTCTTTTCCGTTTATCCCCATTTGGGCCCCACCATCCTTTTACAGGTATTAAGTGCTGTAGCTGCTTTCTTTACTCTATCGTCTAAGTTTGGTTTCCATGAAAGCTTCCTGTCTAAAATTAGTCTCAAGTAGCTTGCCCTATGCCCTATTGTTAACCTGGTATAACTGGTTGGCGGAATAACTTCCGTAGTTCTGTGCTTCCTAGTGAACAATACTAGCTCTGTCTCGCTAGCATTTGAGTTGAGAATATATATTTGTAATATATTTATTGTCTGAACTATTTATGAAACGTATTTTATTACAAAATTTTGAAAAATTTAAATAACATATGTATTTTTAACATTTTTCGAGAGGTTTTTACTATTTTTACATATCGCGATAAGTTAAATATACTAAAAATATAAAATATATAAAATCTTCAAATTTTCAAATATTTTAAAAAATATATATATATAAAAATATATTTTATACCTTTTTTCAATTATCTTCACCTTTTTTCGAATATCTAATTGTGTGGTTTATAATAATAATAATAAAAATATATATTTCTTAATTAGTAACCCATTTAACTGTAACACTGGCTTTCAATGTTTAAAATTTGATATCAATTAAAAATATTATAATTAAATAATTATATTTATTTTATTTGATCTGACTGTACAATTTTATTTCATATTTACCTTCAACAGCGATTCACCGCCGCCTGCCCCGACGACGCCGTTATGATAGACTTGCGCTCCTACAAAAAAGAGATCCTACACGAGCACAATAAACGCCGTAACTTCGTAGCGCTCGGCCAGTTGCCAGGTTATTATCCCGCTTCGCGCATGGCCACCATGGTGTGGGATGAAGAGCTCGCCTTTCTTGCGGCGCTCAACTTGAAAATGTGTTATGTTGAGCACGATGAGTGCAACAACACGCCACGCTTTGCGAATGTGGGACAAAATCTCTCTGGCGTTGCTTACCAGCGGCAGGGAGTTACTATAAGCGAAGTGATAAGCCGTTCAATGGGCTTGTGGTTTGGCGAATATCCCTTGATTAATAGTAATTATATAACGAAATTCCGCGTCTCGTACAAATTGTAAGTATTGCACAATTATATTGAGTAAATAATTACATTTTAATTTCATATTCAATTTTTTTTGCTTTACAGCGAAGAATATGGTCACTTTGCGGAGTTCGTAGTTGATCGCAATACACACGTTGGTTGCGCCGTCATTCGTTACACAAATCCTTCATTTCCTTTCTTCCACATCTACAATATGGCCTGTAATTATGCGAGTAAATACGCTATAGGTGTTCCAGTTTATAGTATAGGTGAGCCGGCGTCGGAATGTAAAACTGGTCGTAATCGAAATTACCCTGGTTTATGTTCCACAAAGGAAAAATACAATCCAAACTATCAATATTAAGCAACAAAAGCAAAAATTGTGTAACAGAAATAAAGACTGAATTATTAGTTATTATTTATACATTATTTAAATTTTTTGTTTTTTATTTGAAGTATGAATATTTGATGAAGTTCAATTGTTTGGGTACAAACAACGTCTTGATAAAATTCACATACGATTATCTATTAACTTAAAGATAGTCTTTAATTGAATCTATTCGCACATTTTCTACACTAAAACCCATGAGTAATTGCTAGGTGATTTAAATAAGAGTCTATCTAAAATGATTTTGTTCTACATCATAATTTATTTAGGTTGATTGGTAAAGAAAGCTGCATTGTGATACCACCGGGACCAAAGTCCCCTCACTCTATTGGCTCCTCTCTACACCACCGCGTACTTTTGATAAACTACATCAATAAGGCAAGGTTTAACCCAGCAACCTCCGAGACGTCGTCAAGAAGCCCTCGACCGATGGCTGCGATTCTTTTTCTATATAGTGCTGTGCAATCGCATAGAAGATGTTTACTGATTCTCCTCCTCGTCTACCTCCTGACAGCTTCTACAATACTATAATACAATATTGGAAAGTGGCCTGTTAGTACTCCTACTAGAGTTCTTATATCATTCCATTTGAATTTTAACAGTCGGCATGTGCGACTCATATTCCATTCATACCATGTTTGCCTGCATTTATGTTACTGCCATTTATCTGATCTGTGAAAGTCTTACCAAATAAAAAGAGAAACTACCAGATTTTGGACATTCATCTGTCTAAAAATAAAGTAATCAGTGGTTTTAGAAACGATTTCATTGTAATTTCAGATTTTCTTCGAGCAAAAGCAATGTTTATTGCTAATCTTACCATAAACTACAACATTTTCCCACCTTTCTGGAAATTTGTGGATTCTATTTCAGTATAATTACGCTGGCTTGGCGGCCAATAATGAATCAAGCTAATTTTTGATACCTTGTTCTGATGTGAACCGTATTCCGGTGAAGGCATTCTGCATCGACCCGAACAAAAGATAATTAGAAGCAGCAAGGTCTAGGCTATAAGAAGAGTGAAATAAAGCTTCCCAGCTGTTGTTTTCCTAATAGTTAACCGGTATTGCAACATGAGGCCGAGCGTTGCATGGCGTAAAATTATTGTCCATTAATGGTTTCAGACGGTCTTAGAAGCTCATAATACAGACGGCCATTTGATTCCACCAAATGCAGCACATAACCTTGGTGTCATGTATGTATATTCGGCTTTGCTGGTGATTTGGCTGGATGGACAGATTTCTCTTAAGAATTTTTGGGTTTCGGGTTATCGTAGTGGATCCACTTTTCATCGACTTCTTTTTGTAGCGTTTAAGCAGCATTTCTGACATTCACAATCGCCTTTCAAACTCGTTTGTCTTCACTGTATGTATATGAAAACAAATTTCCTTACTTTGGAATATATTCGGCTGCTTTTAAATGTTTTGAAATGGTTGCTTGAGTGACTCCCAAGGATTCTGCGAGTTCTTATAGGGTTAGATATAGGGCTATATATATATATATATATGTAACTATATGATATGATCAAGATGACAAGACTAGTTAAAATCCGGTTGACTGTCTGTTCGGCCATCCGTCTGTCCGTCCGTGCAAGCTGCAACGTGAGTAAAAATTAAGTTATCGTAATGAAACACGTGTACATGTGTTCCTTGGCAAAAAAAAAGGACAAGTTCGTAGATGGGCATATTCGGATCACTGACCACGCCCACAAAACACCATTAATTGAAAACGTATACTATAAAATGCCATAAATATGCACAAAATAATATATAAAACTGAAATTTGGTACATTTATAGGATTCGGTATCAAATTTGGACGACATTTAGGATCACCCATATAAATGATATTCAGGATTATGAAATCCTGCTTAGCTGACTTTATTTCATACAAGTATATATGTATGTTATGTTTATATTCATCTATTTATAAAATTGCTTGAAAATTAGTTCTCAAGTATATCTGAGCAATGTCAAAAATGAATGCAAACAGCCCATTTCTCTGCCCCCAATATATTCTATATAATGATTTCCGACTTTCCACCTGACTTGTAACCGTTTAGGTTGGTCACAATGTGCGGATTTTCTGAAAAGTTATAAACTTATATTAATGGTTTGGCGCTCAATATAAATGAATTGGTATTAGTTTAAACCTCATATCTCCAATATAATGAATTCCGACCCATTTTCAGGCACAAAGTTCGACATATTTGGGTGAAAAAAATTATTGTTGTTTACGTTTTTAGTTATATCTATGGCAATATATTAAAGAAGCTAAGTCCACTTACGCTAATTTGAGTTATTCTGCTCAGCTCATTCGAGACTGTAGGCATCCAAAGCTTCATAATTTAATGACAAGAATAGAAATTAAGTTTATGACCAGATTTTACTGGGAATCAATACAGTTGTCTAAGCTCGACTTACGCTCTTTTGACACTTATATATCATAACAATTGAAAAGCTTCTGTTTACAGGGAATTTCGCCTCGGCTATATTAATTGCAGCACTTAGCGTTGATTGCAATACAACTGAATGTGAATAAAGTAGATATGATAAATAAATTAAATGCTCTCCAAAACTTAAATGACCACGCGGGAACAAATACACGAATTCGCTACGCAGCTGTTAATGGTGCATACGAAGTGACGAATACGTTTCTCACACATAATAAATTTAATTATAATATACAATGAGCGAAGCTGTGACTAACTCAACGCTTAACTGTAAACGAGTACTTGCACATTTGCCATAAATCCTTAGGAGTTATTCCATTTAAGTCTTTGAAGTGTGGAGTGAATTAATCATTATCAATTAATTACAAAACTTAAGCTCAATTGCATTAACACACACATACAGATGTTTATTTTTAACTGCACTTTTAAGTAACGTTATTATATTTTAATACCAAGAAATGAAATAATCACCGCGAATGGTCAGTCACATTGTGAGGCGAATAAGTGAGAGCAAAACCCCCGCAGGGAAAAACATTCATTAGCAAAATGAAACAAGAAAAAACGTTAACTTCGGTTGCGCCGAAGCTATAATACCCTACACAAATACAAAGGCCCCTTACAAGAACTTGATTCCGAACGTTCAATTTGTATGGCAGCTACATAATATAGTGATCCGATCTGACCAATTTCTGTGGAGAATAATTGGTTGCATTACGCAATAACTCGTGCCTAATTTCGTGAAGATACCTTGTCAAATAAAAAAAATTTCCATGCAAGCAATTTACTCCGATCGTTCAGTTAATATGGCAGCTATATGCTATAGTCGGCCGATCTATAAAATTTCTTCGGAGATTAGATTAATGTCTTAAATAATAATACATGCCAAATTTCGTGAAGATAGCTCGTCAAATGAAAGAGTTTTCCATGCAAGCACTTTACTACAATTGTTCAGTTTGTATGGCAGCTATATGCTATAGTCATCCGATATCGACCGTTCCAACAAATGAGCAGCTTCTTTGTTAGAAAAGGACAGGCGGACGGACAGACAGACGGACATGGCTAAATCAACTTAACTCGTCACGGCGATCATTTATATAATATATTATATATACTTTATATGGTCTCCGACGTTTTCTTCTGGGTATTACAAACTTCGTGGCAAAATTAATATACCCTGTTGAGGGTATAAAAATATAATGCAGGGTTGACCAGTATTACATAAATAACTAAAATCTCCTGCGTTCTACTCTAGGCCAAAAGAATATTGCAGTTGGATCTCCAAAACTCGCCCTCATCAGAATCGAATCTGATGATGAAGTAGCTTGCTGTTATTTCTAGTGAGAACTACAGTGATCAGACAGCCCAAGGCTAAGATTGACGGAGAGTTTCTTACAGAAAGTTTCCCTCCAACCTTCCTCCTAGCTTCGACGCCTCCCACTCCGCTGCGAGTAGCCTCTGCGACGCAGTGATTCGAGTTTAATTAAGATTACTTGATACAGAAAAAAAACCGTTTGTGCAGATCTTACTGCCTTGAGATACAGACAAACGGACAGACGGATATGCCTATTTCGACTCAGCGCATCAAGTTTAATATTTATATATTGTATATACTTTATATGGTCTCCTACATTCCCTTCAGGGCCCTGTTCAGGGTATAATTGGGTACACACAATTTATGAATACTTTTAGGATTTATTATATTTTCTCACCTCTCACTCAATTCAAAATTAAGGATGAAGAAGCACCGAAAATGGCTTCAAGACCTCGGTCAACTACAAATACCCGAATTTCTCGAATATTCAGAGAGTAAGATTTGCGATGGAAAATTATTTTTCACTTATTTGCTTACTTACTGGAAGCAGATCATACTTTGAATAAGGTAGCAAGTGTCTATAGAAAACCAGTTAAGCTATATTCACTCACTTGTTAGAGTGTATTCTTACTAGAATTTTTTCGAGTTCTAAATATCGTTTGTATATAATACGTTATATATAGGTAAGAAAGTTTTTCCCTACACGGCTGCTGCTTAATTAGTTGAACGCGCGGGCGTATGAGTAATTTTTCATATGCAAATTGAATCATTAATTTATGCACGTTCACAAGCTGTTGAGCGCAGCGGAAGCAACAATTAGCGCGAATGCCATTGATTATATGCTTTAATTTATTTTTTATATATTGTAGTATTTCTGTATTCATTAAATGCTTATTTGCCTTCGTTTGTTTCCTCGTGCCGGTAAATTGTTTGTGTTTTTCGCGATACTTGCGAAGTAAGTGAGCTTAACGAGCGATCACCTTTCGTTTATTTACGGAAATATAAATAACTGATTGTTTTTTTATGCTAAAAAGAAGAAGAAACAGCAATTCATCAATTTATCAGAGATTTGTTTTGTACTTTGTATTTGTTTTTTCAGTTTTGGTTGATATGCAGCGGTAATTAATCATAATTGGGATTAAATTTCTCTCGCTTGGAGCAGAGGCCTGGATATTTCGGATTGGGGCCGGTTTCGCATTCCGATGCGGGTTCGCCCACACGATAAACAGGCGTTTCCAGTGCATACTTGCTGGCATAATTGCAAGCGGTATTGTAGATGTAGAGGAACGGGTAGGTGGGGTGTGTGTAGCGCGACATCGCACAGCCGACATGCGTGTTGCGATCGATCATCATTTCCGCAAAGTGACCATACTTCTCACTGCAATCGAATTTCATGTCATTTTATACAAATATACATTTAATTAAGTAAATTCTTTGACTCACAAATTCGATGAAACGCGGAAGGATCTGATGTAATTGCTATCGATAAGTGGATATTCACCGAACCACAAACCCATTGACATTGCTATTATATCGGTTACACTGGCTTTCAAGTCGCGTCGCCGATCGACGCCGGAAAGATTTTGTCCCACAGTTGGAAAACGGTAAGAGTTATTGCAGTCATCATGCTCCACATAGCACATTTTTATGTTCAACGACGCAAGATAGGCGAGTTCTTCGTCCCACACCATAGTTGCCATGCGCGCAGCTGGATAATAACCGGGCAGTTGGCCGAGCGCTACGAAATTGCGTCGCTTATTGTGTTCGTGCAGTATGTGTTCACGATATGAACGCAGATCGTAGAGTAGAGCATCTTTGGGACAATTTTCGCCAAAACGCTGGAATGAGTGAAAATAATGAGTGTTTAAAAAATGCACATTTATAATTTTTACCATGAGTATTTATGTTGTTGTTGCTACCGTTGTTATACTTCCTACTGGGAGCTAAGGTCTTGCTAAGAGGTTCATTGGATATATTCTTTTATATAGAATACTTTCTTTGTACCCTGAACAGAGTATATAAGGCTTACCACTCATTAAACTACATCGTAGACTACATAAAATATTACATATATTTACGCATATAAATGATCAGCGAGACAAGCTGAGTTGATTTAGTCATATCATCTGTACGTCTGTTTGTCTGTATATACGCAAACTAGCCCCTCAGTTATTGATGTATTGATTGAAATTGATCGAAAATGTCCTTTTCTTTTCAAGAAACTGCACTGCCGATATCGGACCACTATAGCATATAGTTAAAATAAATTCCTTCTATGGAAAATTTATTTTATGACAAGTTGTCTTCACGATATTCGAATATATTATTCAGATCGGATCACTGCAGCTTATAGCTGCCATTCAAAGTGATCGATCCAAATCAAGATAGAATCAAGATCGTCATAACGTATTTTTTTTCATATTAAAGAACCCTAATTTGACTTGAATGATACAACCCGTTAGCCGGATACTTTTTTTTCTGTGTTGGTATGAAAGCTTCAGTACATCTGAAGTTAACGTGTTTCATGTTTTATTTTATTATGATGGATATACAATGATTGTTTCAGCGCCTTAAATTGATCTCAATGTCGACGTTCAAAAAAGTAGAATTCTAGAAGTCTCTATAAAAGCTAGTCAATACATATATCACATGAGTGGCTATCTGACGACGTACCTAGGCCTTTCGAAGACCCACGGTAAAACCACCGTTACTAATGCTCCCTCACTCTATTGTCTCCACCCTAAACCACCCCGTGCTTCAGATGAAGTTCACCATTACGAAAAGTTTTGTCCTCCGAAACGTCGAAAAGAAACCCTCGACCGATAATTGATATTATTTTCCTATAGAAAGCCTTGCATTCGCATATAAGATGTTTTATAGTCTGCTTTTCTTCTACCTCCTGATAGCTTATAGTCATTACGTGGTGTTTCAAGTCTGCTGGCATGTATGGCAATTAGACAGTGACCTGTTAGCACTTTTAGAGTTCTTACTTGTATGTCAGTCCTTTTGAATTTCAATAGCCTGTTCTAGCTAGTTCATCTGCTTGACAGGAACCCATTGTAGGTTTAACGTGAAATAGGGTTTTAGATCCATTAAGGCATTATATCACTATCTTCGACGAAACGCTATGAGACTTTAATGATTTTAAAGCCGTTTGCCTATCTGGAGATATATATATATATATATATCTAGTTGTGAGCACACTTATTGTCAGAACAAGAAAACTTTCTTTAATTGCTGTGATCTCCGCTTGGAAGACGCTGCAGTGGTATGGACAGACGGAAGGCGACTTTTTTATCTATGCAATATTTTCGAAACCACTTTCTAAATCACTTTTTTAACACTTATCATTGTTGTACTTACGCCATTGTGATCGCACGCCACATGCCACTTGCCATTCGGACACAGCGACGGGTCGCACCAGTCCAATTTTCGATGTCCATAGGAAGAAACCGAAGAGATTGCCAGAAGTAATAAGCCAAAGTAAAGCAAATTTGTGGATAGCGAAAACATTGTGAAAAATGAGAATGAAAGTGCAAGTGTAATACTGAAGGTGATATCTGGTGACTTATTGATCGGAATTCGCGCGCTGCTTTGACATTTATACTCAAATAAGTAAAGTGATATCGAAAAGTGCGAATGCGTTTGGACCGCTAATGATATTTATGACTCTGAGCTGTAAGGTTTGTTTGTTTATTCATTGTTGTTGTTACAATTTTTTGTTGATCTTCATTCGAAAACCTGCCATGTTGTTGGTATTGCGTCATGACAAATACATACGCAAGCGCAAGGCAAAAAATTCTTTCTCAAAATGCAACGATTGGCTTGGCAACAGAAAATCAACACACATTTTCACTTCTCCTGTGTGCTCACGTGTTTATGGCAGGTGAGCGCTTTTTTTTCAAAATTTATACTCATTAGAATATACGTAAACAATTTTTGCATCCTTTTTTTTCTCAAATTTTCTCTGTTTATTGAGCAACCGAAAAAGACCTTTAGCCCTGTTTAACAGATTTTTAATTTCTTCATACATCAAATGTTATTTTTTTGACGTTGTTACCCTTTAAACACGCTTATTTTTATTGTTATATGCATTGCTGTTGCTCTTTTTTGTTGAAAATAAACAGGTTTTTCTTATTACTCCGCAAACGCAATCAGTCAAATCGATAATAGTGACAGCATTTCCTCAATACAAGTGTGTGATTGTTAATTAATCGTTGTTGACCAGATTATTAAAATTAGCACATATGTTCTTGATCGCCTTATAGTAGTTGTAAATACATGTGTGCTGACATAAACACTGTGAGAAACGGGGAAGCATTTTCTAACATTTTCTGCCCATACAAATTGCTTAACAGTTCATATAATATATTTGAAACCTTAAAGTTGGACAACTAAATCATACTTTCAAATTGCTAAGGTGGTATTAGCATTCTTTTAAATAGATTGGTCTATCGCAATATCGTTTTAAAAAATTTTATAAAAGTTAGGTTATGATGATTTTGAGGCTGATTCTTGAACGGCAGATCCACAGCCAATCATAATCATGTCTGCTTTGAAACCATAAAATTCAGTTTAATTATACCGCCATATAACGAGAACTTGAGTCCATAAGCTACTGAATGACTAGAGGAGTGTGATCCAAGTTGTTTCATACTCCGCGAGACCTAAAAGATATTTTGAAATAGTTCTACCTCACCATATTCCTCTTTTACTTTTGCTAATAGGAATATGAATAATCAGAGCCCAAGGAGAAAGACTTACCTTACTAAGCACAGGAAGACCTTTTGCGCTTAATTCTGGACGAGAAGAATATTGAGATCATGAGGCTCAGCCAACGACAACGGCACTCTCACCCGCTCTCAGTCTTGTGAGAATTTTTAAATTACCTTGCAGTTACGTTTCTGCTACGGCCAGGCATCATATATGCATATAAGTGTTGATGAAGTGTTCCTGATACTAAATTCAAAAATCAACCTTGCCCCTGAGCTGCAAACCAAACGTAACAGGCCAACATCCTCCTATGTATATCTAAAAAAGTGACCATTTCTTCGAGAAGTTCCCAAAATAACATTTTTTCTTCAACTAAACATTTTTTAGTTGGACAGATGTTTCGTAAGATATCTAATAGCTGCATCTTCTTCTTTCTATACCGTTAATTTGTTACCATAATCTCGGCTGAAATTGGAACGCACGAAGCTGGAATGAAGTAAATTTTAAAGTAAAGTTTCATAAGCTTCTCGAACTAATAAGCTAATATTAATCTACAATAATATTAAATAAACCCTGCTACCCTTAAAAATATACCAACAACAAATAATTATTTGCCGATACAAACCAGTTTCACGAATAATTATATTTAATTGGCCTAATAAAAAACAAAATTGTATAAACTTGGAAGATGGTGATAACTTTGCGCTGAAACTCAAAATAAAATATTTATTATTTATGGTTTAAATAAATATTTTTTATTGCTTGATGTGTGCATCCAACACAATATTATTGGATTGATATATGCAGGCGCTTTAATCCTCCTTGTTTGTAGCCTTTATTATACCCTGAACAGTTTAAGTGTAGTTTGGCACGAAGTTTTTAACACCCAAAAGAAAACTTCGGAGATCTATGAAATATATACATATGTATATACTAAAATTATCACCGTGAGATGATGTCGATTGGCATGGACATGGCTATCCATCTGTCCGTTTGTATGCCTGCATAAAAGCGAACTAATCCTAGTTCTTCAGTTCCGTTTCCATAACAGTCGGGTCTACGTAACCGGAACGGACTCGGATTTTTTCCGGCCTAAGACTGTCAACTCGACAAAACTCTGCCGCTACAACAACAACAACGACAGTCCTTCAGTTTTTGAGGTATCGAACTGAATTTGCACACGTTTTTTTCTCCCCAAAGAAATTGTCCATTTATCGAAACCGCCTATATCGACTACTGTGCAACAGAAGTACACGGTTTTTCTTGTTTTTTTCTGATTTGAAACTTATTCGACGAGATACCATGTACATTTAATTACAAAAGTAGAAGTACGACAGCAAAAACTAGTATGTAAATAAGTAAATATTTATTAAGAGTACAAACGACGTTCCAAAATATTCGAAAATAACAAGCAAAATAATTAATTATTATATATTTATTGAAAGCGCGGTTACAATTTCTGATCAATACTAACAGTAGAAATCATAAATATAAGAGCAGTTTGATAAGTCAGTGATCTTTTGAAAGAACGAACGTAACTGTTTTCGCCAAAAAAATGGGCGGTAGGGAGCTCACCCACTTGGGTATGATGTTGGCAGCTCCGACGATGTCTATCCAAATCGATGAGGAAATTTTTGGTGCTTAAATATAGATTTGTCGTGAACCTCTTGAAGGCTTCGGGAAAATTGGAAAAAACTAGAAGACTCTGAATGTTAAATGGTTAATTCTTCTGTTGCCAAAAAATCCATTCCCGGTCAAATTCTGTGGAGGTCGAGACGCAATCTTGAATTCCACCAACACTAGTGTGACAGTCCTCAGCATGCTCGTTGCAACTTCGTTTCTCAGTTCTATACACTAACGAAAGCCAAGTGACTCACTATTTGATCTTTTTGATGTCCACCAAAAGAGAACAATTCACACTGCATTATAAATTGTAACCGTAGAAAACACTTTAAGAGCGGTTCTAGTCGGTGGTCCTTACCAGCGTAGGCCTTATAAATCTACTGAACTATCATGGTTACAGAAAAGTCTTTTGCGCAGCCAAAAAGCTTCTGAAGTTCGACCTAATGTGTCAACAAAGTAATTAGAACCTAACACAAATTGTTTAAGGTGTTTACATTTTATTCCAGATAGTATATGGATGGGACAAAAGAGAGAAAAGTTTCAAGATGATCCCATTCGATTTCTTTCAAATAACCTCGACATATATAGATATATCTTTAATATATTTTTTTAACACTGACTCATCAAACTCTGCTCATAAAAAGAATAAAAACGCGGCCGTAAGCTCTCTACCACCAAATACCCAAATCACTGAATAATTCTTCTGATGTAGGCAACTCATAATTTTCATTTACCCATTCGGAATTCTCACCCGACTTATTCTGTTGATTACCATACTCCTTTTTATAGCCAACTTTGCGTAAATCATCCTCATCTTCTTCTTCATCATCCTCTACCGCCTCCAATGTGCTACGTCTTACCATACGGATTTTAGTTAAACCCTGTTCGCTGGGCAGTACTTCAAGCAATTCACTAAGTCCACTGATATCCATTTCTTTCGTCTGTGCGCGTTCATCTACCGCAGATGTCGCGGTTTTGTCGGCGGTCGCTTCTTCCGCAGTAGCAATGCGTTGTATGCGTTCCAATATGGAGAGTATGTGGCGTCTAAATCGATTATAATCGAAATTTTCATGCGTCACATTGGTTTCGATAGCATTTATGCCCTCACTATTCTTCACACGATTTAGGGGACCATAATGATAGAGCATATCGATGCCGGGCGACATTGATTCCTCCCAACTCTTGCAGAGGAAATGATTACATAAAAAGTATAGAAGGTTTTTTGATGTTAGGATATTATATAAGTAATCTAGATTAAATTACCAGCTCCGTCCAATCTTCGATCGGCGTGCAAAGCACTGAACAAATAACATTCACTAATTTCTCCTCCATGCGTAGTGCGCCAATAAGAGAGGTGGCCACAAAAATAGCGCAAGTTAGATCACAACGTTGACTGAAAAGGAACGAAAATTTTTGAAATTGTAACTTATAATAAGAAGAAAAACGGAGAACGTAAAAAGCAAAGCTAACAAGAGAGGACTGCGAAGAACTAACACAATTTTAGGACCATTGTGCTAAATATGTTTATAATCACATCACATGAATACCAATGTAGTCTTCCATTTAAAGGCTGAGATAAGGAAAATACCGGATTAAAGAATACACTCTTATTGAGTAGATTTAAAGTAAAAATTTGGTTCAACACAGCTGACCATGTATCAGATCACTATTAACATAGTCATAACATTAACTTCGGTTCAAGTTTATAAAAGTTACTGGATCGCTTACAAATAAAGGATCAATTATATATTTTTCTCTTACATTACTTTTTTATTTCATTAAAGACTCAAAGAAACTCGTTCTACTCACATCTTTTCTAACTTTCGTATTTCCATTAGCTTATCACCTTCCGCAATCAGATGATCGTAGTTCTCCTCTATTTGTATAACCAAAGTTTCCTTAGATTCATCTTCAGGCTGATCTTGCAGCTTACGTTGCAATGTCTTAAATTGTTGCAACAATTTATCAAGTTCCAGCTATAAATGTAAAAAAAAGTAGAGCGTAAAGTCATAAAGATACCGTAGAAAAATTAAGACCAGCTTTAGGCACGTTTTACGGACACTTAAAACTCTTCGTTGAAAAATTACCGTTTGTTTGTGTATATTCTCTTGCGTCTCACGATGCAGATCAATTTTACTTAAAATTGCATGAATGGGCAGCACTGGATTGGCCATTATCGTTTTCACTCTGGTATTTATGGCATTTTTTACACGCTTTCCTTTCGAAGGTATGGACTCTTGGGCATGCTCCAAAGCCACTCGCATTATGCGTTCCAATATAATTGGCAATGTTTCCAAAGTATCTGATTGTATTCTGCAGAAGAATGGCGATTAGCAAGTAAATATGTAGATCTTAAAAATTCAACCAGCAAACTCACCTTATACGATTCGAGTTCTTTGCTAGAACAATAGTCACAACCTCTTCACATTTCTCATCACCAGGGCAGAGCAGTAGCAGACCCAGCGCATGAGATTCGCTTTCCCCAGTTACGAACTCAGGAAAGAATGTAAATAATTTGGGTGTCAATGACTTCGACATAATAGTATAGGTTAGTTTTATGCCAGCGGACTTCTGCGGCTGGCGCGTTTTGTAAAACATGCTCAACGGTAAATAAGCGGACTGTTGCAAGACGCGTGGTATGCCCTAAGAAAGAGAGAGTTAAAATATTAAAATCCATAACAACTTAAAACTAATACAGTTACTCACTTTAACACTAATGAAAGAAATTATCACGTCTACACGCGCTGTATGCACATGCAACAAGTCATCCACATAGAACTCCAAATCCAACGTCTCCACCTGACCGGACGTCATGTCCACATAGGTAAGCGTATCCTGACTACAACGTATACCCTCGGCTGTGTTAAAAACAACTTGTAACTCAGCCAATTCAATCTTGCATCTCAACTTTAGTATGCCCGAACAGGCGGGCAGCTCCTTGACAGCCACATGTGCTGGTACGTCTAATAGCAGTACGTCTGCATCTTCACTAGTTTCAGCGTTGATGGTAAATTGTATGCGCACATCTTCCTCGGCACGTTTGTCTATATCTGCCATGTCTGTCACATCGACCGCCGCTTTGATTTCTTCCTCCAACTGTTGCAACTCCTTGTGCGCCTCTGTAAAACTCAGATCTTCCATATTGACCGATGGTACTTTGAAGACAAATGGCTCGGAGCCGAGATAGCCAATACGCAATTGGCCAGTGGAACCGAGTGCAACTATACCGCCAGGTAATCCATACAAATTGGAACGTTGTATTGCAACGGGTGGATCGTCCTTGTATTGAGCAGCCCAAATGATGTTAGCACCTTCGTAAATGAAGAGTTTCCCCGTGTCGGAAGCGATAGCGGTGATTAAGCGTGCGCCGGGCTCTTTGAGACGACAAGAATTAACATAATATATGGTAAATATTGTTTAATTTGAGTAATGAGTACTATAGAGTGCATATATTATTAGTAATTTCATCCGATGAGATTGTCGTACTGTCAATACGGTAAAACAAAGGCGCTAGCCTATATATGTAGACATACAAGTATATAGATATTTATTTCTTTGGCAATCATCATTCTATAAAATGGAAGATCAATGACGGTCAACTCTTTCTTAGGATCTTGTGAAGAATGTTTCTGTTACTACAAGAACAACGAAGGCATAAGTTTCAGTATATATTTTAGTGAATTTCATTGGCGCAATATCTAACTTAATCTAACTGTTCTACATACTTAACTGCTGTCGATCTTACGATCCCATTTGTGAACCTATTGATAAGGTAGTCCCTAAATACAGCTTTTCAACATAAAAGTTCATAAGAGCAAATGTCCGTAACGTAGACTAACGAGAAGACCTTCTATTTTACAGGTAGGATCAAAGACACTCATGACTCTAAAGATGACGTGGTTCATTAGAGTCTTAAAATCTTCTAAAAAAGTAGATTTCTCAAAAATCCTAATGATTTCCAGTCCTATCATTGTTATAATTCCAAAGCAACAAAAATTCTATAAAAAATTCTTCTTTTGTACATTTAGTGGTGTAGCATGAGAGTCTAGTTTTGAAAAAGTCCGACAGAACTCATAAGGATATATTCGCTTGAATAGTCGAGTACATTTTGGGTGAAGATTAGTACCCGCAGCCAGTTACCTGATATATACATATGTATGTATACTTTAAATCTGAACTGGGAGCACATTCCTAAACTGTCGGTCGCCTACTGAAGTTTCAGACATATTAATCGAACCTAAAGTCTATCTACTGCGTAAAGCAGTTAAAATTTTCTCTGCTATTTCGTCCCTTACATGTTATAATACACATTAATCCTTGAAAAAGTTAAAACAATTTCAAAATAGTATATTACCCCAGTAATAGCCGACTACAAACGAGTAAAAGCAGCTTGGTGTATAATCCAGCTTCAGTATGAAGTCCACAAGACCATCATCGGTTAAAGAAATGAAATTGCGCTCGCCCAAAACCATAATCGAAGCGGAGTTGCTTTAAAATTAAAAATATAATAATACAAAATTATATATTGTAGTAAAATAGGGAGCACCGTTACAATTACTTACGACTTCGCCTGGATCACACACATATCCACAATACCTTCACCAATACACACCGACCACGACGGCTTGAACTCAGAACGATTGAGCGAGGAGTGAGAAAGATCTTGATAGCTGTGGAATGAGATTTCTGAAGAGAGTAAATACAAAAACTTAACTCATATTTATACAGTTATATGTACTTACGTGAAGCACTCTAAATTCCAACCCGCTGTAAAACGAAAAAAACTATCGGTGCGTTCGCAATAGACCACCGGTACTGGCAGCGCACGATTGCCCGGTAGTTGGCACTCATACAAAATGCCATCCTGTTCGTGAAAGGTCAACGTGCCATCCAAGTGGGTAATGCAGAAGAACTCACGTCCTTTGACGCGCCCAAATGAGCCCTTCGTTAAAGCCAAAGCGCCACGCTTCAGTTTATAGTCGGCTAAGGATTGCAGACGCAATTGTGCGCCATGTTCGGCGACACCACCAATAGCGTTTAACTTGTATATGACCACCGAACGTGGATGCAGCACAGCGAGTTGATTCTGCTTCTCATCGGCCATTTGACCACTGAATAAACAAGGGAGCGCATAAAACAGCCGAATCTCAAACGACTTTTCAATGCAACGAAACTCACCCACTGAAACGTCCCGCATATATGCCCAATATGGGCTGCTTCAGATTCACCTCCAACAACAAATCCGTCGGTCTAAAGGCATTGCCATCTTCTATGCGCCGATTTTGTTCCAAACGCGGATTGAAAATGCTCAAATTACCGCTATGCGAACCGACCACCACATAATCCTTTTCATTGTCATCGAGTCCAAAGCGGGCGCACAGCAAACTGGCCACATCGTAGTTCTCCTCCAGATCGGAGCACTGTGTGTGCCACCAGTTGCAAACGTTGAAGAGCGACATGACGTGCAATGGCTTTGCATAACGCGTTGTGAACTGACACAGCTGTTCGCGTGGAAGTGCTGAGCTGGTGAAAATTTCTTGCAGTTGTTGATTTGTTTACGTCGTCGGGGGTATGTTGCTATAGCAAACTGACGTCAGCTGTAGGAGTTAAAAGCGACCGGCATTTATATGCTAATCTGGTTTAAGGGATGATGTGTCGTAGGCAACAAAAGTATAAATATTGCATAAATATTATTTTAATTACTACGTTGTAGTACTCTTTAAATATATTTCGAATGAGGTTTATAAATACATCTCTTAGAATCGTATATCTTCTCAAAAGCGTTCCACGACGAAAGGTATGCAGAAGTATCACTGTGGTCTTGATGATATTTTATCAAGCGATGCTTTACGTGCTGCTGTTCAGATGAGGTCAAAATCGAACCTTTCAAAGCAAATCTGGGATATTTCTGGATTTCTTCTTCCACTGGCTTTATCGAATTCTCAAAAGAAATGTTGCAAAGGTCGGAGTGTTAGAGAGTCATTTGTATAACTTATATACCATTCTTTTGACCACAAGATCATTGTTCTTTTGGGATTTATAGATCAAAACAAAAAAGTCAATATCTCTCCGATCGACAGTATGTAAACAGAAATATTATGTTATATAACATCTAAACAAATAGTGTAGACTCGAAGATATCCGAAATCTTTGGCAGTAAACATATAAAAAACATCCTTCAAGACTGTTAGTTGCAGGTCATCAGATAGTTTAGATCCTTTAAGTTTCAGGCAGATTATTTCAATGACTAAACCTATGAGAAACCTCTAGGTCGTTTAAATAAACGGTACCAGCGGGCATCTGCCAATTCGGAAGCATATTACATAGATCAACACAACCTACTAATTCTCATGGACTACATAACGGAACTCTATCTAGCATTGCTAAGTACCAAGACTGCTCTATGCGTGGCTGATTAGCCTACCAGACTAACCTAACCTAACTTTTTCTTTCTTTCCACGTTGTTTGATGTAAACAATCTTCAAGTCGAATTAAGTTTACTTATAAAGGAAAAAAAAGATTTTTTATGAAGATCTTTATCGTAATTTTGATCGAGCTATATGCTATAGTGACTTAATCTCAATCTTCTGAGATTGCAGCAATGGCTCAGACAATAAAAAGGTTTTTCAAACAGGGACTCGATTTTGATCGTTCAGTTTGTATGGCGGCTATATGGCATAGTGGTCCGATATGGGAGCAGCTTCTTGGTGAGAAAAGGACGTATGCAAAATTTTAGATCGATATCTCAATAACTGAGGGACTACTACGCGTATATATAGACGACCATGGTTAAAAGTCCAATTCCTAAAACAACCGGTTCTACGTTACCGGAATTGACCCGGATTTTATCCGGCCAAGGGCTGTTATTTCGGCGATCTAACCCTGTTTGGATCGGTAAGATCTATGTTAAGTTTGTCGTCATTGGAGCAACGCCTAGCAGCAGGGTGGCTCCGTATCCTCCTGACCCGTGCTGGCATCGAGTCCAACCCGGACCCCGAGAAATTTTACTGCTGCGTTTGCGCTAGAAGGCTCCATCCAAACTCCACCTCGGTTAGGTGCAATACATGCAATGGATGGAGCCATCTTAAGACCTGCTCAGGCCTTAAGACACACAGGGAGTGGACCACGAGTTACGTGGCCCCATGCTGTCAACGCAATACTGCGACATCTGCCTCAACGGCTGTGCAACCTGCACTTTGTTCGCGCACTGCGCCGCCACTCCAGTCGAGTGGCCAAGATAGGACCTCCACAGCCCTAAGGAGCTCACACAGACAACATAACTCCCAGTCTGACCAACAAACACTCTTTCAAATTGCGCAACCAAATAAAAAATTATATTTATTTTTTGTTAAAGAGTTCTTTTATATTTATGCATTTAATTTAATTTTGTTTAAGTATAATTATGTACGGTTACCACATTATTGTATTTGTATGATAACATTTGCTTAAAATGTATTTTATTTTATGCTTTGTTTTATTTATTTATTTTTTTTTTAAATTTAAAAATATTTGCTTAAAATTATAATTACAGTGAAGAGTACACGAAAGTAGAAGTACATGAGCGGTTTAGTTTTTGTTTTAATTATAAAAAAAATATATATATATTTATTAATCGTAAAATATGGAAACATATGTGTGTGTGTGTGATTAGTTTGTGGATAATTAACGAGCTAAATTTAAAAAAACAAAAAACTATGCGTTTTGCATATTTATTTACCATTTGATTACACATACAACTATTATTTATTTATATATATATATATATTATGTATATCTGAATATTTCTTATATTTTTTTCTGTTCAATATTTATGCAGTTGAATTAGAAATCTCTAGAACTAAACATAATCTTTACGAATATAATACTCTTGGACTTTTCGGAGCAATTGTAAAGCACTTTCACAATCGACACTATTTTCCACACATTTTCCTTTTTGTTTTTGCATATTATTGTTTTTGTTTACTCCTTTTCACTGCGTATTTGCATGATCTTCTTTTTCACCAACGTGCGTACTTGTTGCGCCGTCGATTGCTGCACAGTTTGTTGTTGTTGTTGCTGTTGGCTGCCACCAGCACCACCACCTCCACCACTAGAGGTCGCTATCGTTTGTGTTATGGTCATCACTTCACCTTGCCCCGCACCCGATGAGTTCGCTATGCTGGATGTGCTCATACCTTGTTGTTGTTGTTGCTGTTGTATGCTTTGTTGTTGTACTACAGCCACCAAATTGCCACCGGCCGTTTGTAGTCGCACCGGACTGGCATTTTGTCGCTGGCCTTGCTGTGCAGCCACTTGTTGTTGTATCAAATGTATTGTCTGTTGCGTCTGCGATTGATTGCCACCGGCCGTGCCCACCTTTATGGTGCCGGCAATGTTTTGGCCGCTGGTCACATGCGCACGCAGATTGCCGGCGGCGAGTGCTGCTTGTGCGGAAGCAGCGGAAACCACCTGTTGTGGGGCGTGAGGGAGGAAAATACATTAATTTTTTTAAATTAAATTTATATTTTAATTATTGTTATAATTATTTTTGTTGTTTTTTTTTCTTTTTGTTTAGTGGCATATTATACTTTTATATCTTTTGAAGTGAAACTTCTTTAGGTGTGGCAGAAAATAACGAATTAAAACCAAAAACTTAGAAGGTTGCCACCTGCTTGAAAATTGTATGTCAAAAAAATTATATTAAGTAAAAATAGTAGGGTATAAGTATGAAACTAAAGATGTAAAAGTTGGGAAAATGTATTGAGCAGAGTTGCCACCTGTTTAAAAAATTTAATTTAATTTTATTTATAAGATAAACAAATTACTAAAATTTTTTCTCCAACTAGAGAAATTAAAATTTTTTTTAAAGTGTTGCCACTTGTTTGATAAGCTTAATTCCATAAAACTAAATTTGTTGTGAAGATTTACGTTAAATAAGCTGATTATTACAATATGGACACAAAAACAAAGGTTCGAGAAAAATTTCTGTTGCAAATTTGTTTTGTCAAACAAATCTTGTCATCTGATAAATTTTTATAATTAAATTAAATTTATAAGATAAAAGAGTTATTACAATATGGGTATCAAACTGAAACGATTGAATTATAGAGTCGAAATTTTTTTTTAAAAAGCGTTGCCACTCATTTGAAATCGCTTATTCTATTAAATTAAATTTGATTTAAAAGAAATTAGTTAAAATGGCAATATTCGTGGCAACTAAAACACATTTGCGAAAAGTTGCTTTTGGAAATTGTTTTGAAAAGTGTTGGAAAAATAAGTTGAATATTGCAGTATGCGTTACAATTAGATAAAACTTGAGAATAGTTTATGTTGCTAAAAGTTTTTAAAAGTGTTGCCAACTGTTTGAAATTTTATTCTGATTAGATATATTACTACATATTTTTCAATTAATACTTTTTAACTACTTTTTATAGTTCTACATACATATATACAAAATAAATTGTGGAAAAGGCGTTACCCGACTTCCTTTCATAGCTTCGCTTACATTTCTTCTCACCTGAATGGTTTGGCGCTGATTCGACTGCGATGCCACCGACACAGGTATCACACGTCCCACACTGGTCTTGCTCAACACCAGGCCCGTGGCGGCCAGCGAACCCTGCTGTCCCTGTCGCATGACGTGCTGTATTTGCTGCACTGTCACCGAGCTAGGCAGCGATTTAGTATTCTGTATGTGCACCAATTGCGTCTGTACGCCACCGGCGCCCTTCGGCTGTTGAACCACGGTCGCACCGCTCGGCGACTGCCCCACTGAGGTGGTCACCTGTTGACCACCCTGCGCGGCTGAAGCGATCTGCGTCATGCGATTGATTTTGCGCGGCATATTGAGCGGTTGCATGTGCAGTTGACGCATTTGCGCCTGATTCGCCATGGAAGTGGTTACCTTTATCTGGCCACCGGGTTTGAGGTGTGACAGCGCCATATTCACGGTAGTGCCTTGCTGTTGGCCACCACCAGTGGAGACGGTGACTCCGCCGCCACCTTGCTGCACTATACCGGCGCCGGATGAGGTCTTCACCAGCGTTGCTATTTGCTGAGCCGTCACTTGTTGCACCTGTTGTTGCTGCTGTTGCGCTTGCAGTTGTTGTTGCGCACTGCCGCCACCGCCTTGTGTCTGTTGCTGTTGCAACTGTACTGTGGTGCCTTGCGCAGTGGTGGCCGTCGTATTGAATATCTGTCCCTGCTGTAGCACTTGCGCCTTCTGATGCGCGCCGATCACTTGTCGCTTGACTAGCACCATATCGTCACCCACTTGACGTGCTATTGTCTGCTTGCCGGCGACCTGCTTGATGAATTGCGGACGTCCTTGCTGCGCCACTTGTACTGTGGCCACGGAGGTAGCAACGCCGCCACTTGGCGCGGCAACCATATTTGATGAGGATACCGTGGCTACAGCGACCTTTTGTCCTTGCACCTGCATTGTGGCCTGACCACCGGCGGTCTGTACGAGACTGCCTTGTATAATGGTGCCGGCGGCATTAACGAGCGCTGTTTGACCGCTGGCCGTTTGTACGAGTGTTTGACCGCCGCCTTGGCCAGATGTGGTTTGCAACACCTTCAGCTGTTGGCGCTGGCGATAGAGTTGTATG